TTATGGGCAAAAGGTGTTTATCAGCTTTCCACCAAGTAAACAGGATCAAGATTTAATTATACCATGGGAGTACCCATTATTCCAACTTCGAGATTAGTTGGATTCCATGCCTCTCTGTCACAAGCTAAATCTAAATGCCAAGCTTGGAAAGCAATTGCCAAAAAGCAATTTGCTCCAGTTCCTTCTCATAGCACTTGAAAAGTAATTTATTGTCAATACTCAGAGCAATGTTTATAGGGAACTGTATGCAAAGGGATCTTGTTGCATCTTTAAAGGTAACTTTTAAAAGTTACAGATCCAGTCTGATCTTGTAAGCTAAGCAGGGACACCACTGGTTAATACCTGGATGGAAGAGCTCCAATGAACACTAGGTTCTGTAGGCTACATTTCAGAAGAAGGAACTGGCAAAACCACCTCTTAGTATTTCTTGCCTAAGAAAACTCTATGAAAAATTCAATTGTTGTTGCTGTGTGCCTTCAAGTTGTTTCCAATTTATGGCAAACTCATTACTAGGTTTTCTTTGCAAATTTCTTAAGAGGGGGTTTGCCATTGCCATCCTCATCCTCTGAAGTGAGAGATTATGACTTGTCCAAAATCACTCAGTAGGTTCCATGGCCAAGCTGGGATTTGAACTCTGGTTTCCAGTCATAGTCCAATGCTCAAACCGCTACACCATACTGGCTGCCACAAAATTCATAGAGTTGCCAAAAGCCAACAGGTGACATGAAGACACACATACACATGGAAGACATGACTTCTTGTAGCAAAGGAAAAGTAATTTCATTTCGTTATTTGTATTGTTTTTGAAATGTGGCTTCTCTGTGGCCTTCTTACAAAAAAGACAGCTCATTACACATAACTGTGTTGCTTGGAACTCTTTAATGTTGGCGTATGTACCAGGGTCAGGTCTGAGTAATTCTTAATAGTATGCTACCCGAAATCAATAAATGTACAAGATGAACATGTGTTCATGTGTCATTGTACACTGCAGGCTGGATCACAAAGAAAGCAACTTTTTGTGTTGCTAATTGAGTTTGAATTTTATTTCCTTCCCAGAGTCCACTTGGCCAAAAGGGAGGAATACCCTCTTCCTTCATGGATACCATCTACAGTATACCATCTCAACTCAGAACAATAACAATGACATCTTGACAAAATGTTGTCCTGTGACTCTAACATTGTCATATTTTTCTTTTTTCTTGTATGTCATTTAGCAGCTTTGCCTGATGAAGCCAGTGAAGCTTTGAAAGCTTGCATCATACACTTTGTGCATTTTGGTTAGCCCACTAAAACTACCCCCATCTTGTGTATTTTGGATGTTACTGTACACTGCAGACATGTGTTAGACATGCATTCATTGTATAAGGATACCAACAATTTTGAGGGGGAAAACAATGTAAAGCACTTCAGATAGGTAAAAACATCTAGTACTTGGAAGTATTAAAACAAACACCATTTGGGGCTTAGCCAAACCAAAGAAAATACATTCTCCTTCCCCAACTAAATTATCCCAAATGTTTAGAGAAAAAGAAACAGGGAAAAAAATAGAGAAAATCTCTCAACCCTGCCCACTTTCTTCAGACTTATGTGGCTGTAGTGTGTATATGTGTGTGGTGTGTGTGAGCATGCATGCATGGATGTGCATGTGTGTTAATATCAGGCATCACATTTTTATGGACCCTCCAACAGCAAACTCCGAACGTGCAAGTTGAAATTTAGGACCATTGACCTTCCACTCAAAGTGGCCATAGGTGTTCCCACAGCTGTTAAATAAACTTATGTTTATGGCACCATAAATGTAGCACAGGTGAAGATCTGGGTGATGTAATAACAACTACCATTACAGCCCAGTTTGTCATTTATACAACAGTCTACTGTCAGGGGTGACTATTGTTTTACAATAACAGTGTAAGGTTCTCCGAATTTAACCACTCTTTCTTCGTTTATGAGTCATTTGACCTTTCCCCTTCCAAAGAAGATCAAACCACTTCTGAAAAACCTCTCTCTCTCCCTCTCTCTCTGTCTTTCAATCTCTGTTTTTTCTTTTCTTCTTTTTTTAAATAAAACACAGGCTCAACAACAGTTGGCTGAATAGCTAAGAAGCTGGTATGTGCCCCCGGGGTTTCCCAAACAACTGTCCCAGATCGTTTTATAAGATAATCTCACAGCATAATCATGTAGCCACAAATTATCGTGTAAATTCCCAATTAAAAACACAAAATAGAAGCTGTAAATCATGAGACTAAACTACCACCTTTCCTATCCAGACCCAGAATGGAATGGTTTGGGGGATTTTTTTAGCTGAGGGGGTGAGAGTAGAGGAATTAGCAGAAAACTCTTTTTGTGTTGCTATTTCAGCACTTTAACAAGGCAGAATCCAAACAGAGCTCCTGATTTGTGAGTGTGTTACACAGCAACAGTAAGACAAAAATTCTTTCATTGTTGGTTTAAAAAAAAAAAAGCTTAAGCAACAAGGAAGACCACACCGCTTGTAAAAAAAAAATGTTCCACCCTCCATGCAGGATGGTGCTTGTTAAAAAAAAAATCCAACAGACTTTACTTTTGGCATCTTTCCATACCCACCCCTTGTCCCATTTAGAAATTAAACTAGTAGCATGCCATTCTCACTGGAAGGTTTTTGCTTTTGCATTGTTTTACTCAAGTGGTGGCTTAATTTCAGTCAATTAAATGATACAAATGAATTAAATGAATTGCTCTGACGTCAGTTAAATGTAATGGATGAGTGTCTTTCAGCTGCCTTCCACAAATGTCAACCTGGCCTCTGCGGAACCAGCTGTGATGGGTGTGGAAAACATCGCCATCTTCTCAAGCCAGGAGGAAGAACAGTATGAGTTGACAATGAAGTTCATTCTCACTGTGTGTACAGAGAGAGAATTCTGGCCAACATAAAGTAAACTCATGGTGACTTGTATTTGTCATACAGGTCAGAGTATTGGATTAAGACTGGGGAGCTCCAGGTTCAAACTTCCACTCAGGCATGAAACTCATTGGGTGATTTTGGGATGGTCACTACCTGTCAGTCTAACCAACCTCACAGATTTGTTCTGAGGATAAAAATGGTCTCCTCAATCTGAAGAGCAGTCCTTCAAACCAAAGTCCTACTGAGTTTAAAATCCTCTTTTCCACATCTGATGGACAAACCAAATGCCCCTGGAAAAGCCACCAGAATTATTTAAGTACAACATGTTCTCCTTCTCTTGCCTCTCATAGATTTAGGGAGCTGGATATGCTTAGCTTGAAGAAGAGAAGGCTGAGAGGTGACATCATTGCTGTTGTGTGCCTTCAAATCATTTTTGAGCTAAGGCAAACCTTATCATGGCTTTTCTTGGCACAATTGGTCCAGAGGAGCTTGCCTTTGCCTTTCTCTTAGGCTGAGAGATTGTGACATGCCAAAGATCACCCAATGGGTTTCCATAGCTGAGTGGGGATTCAAACACTGGTCTCCAGAATCATTGTCCAATGTTCAAACTACTAGATATATCTTCCTAATCAAGCTACTATTTTTCAGTTGAATTAGGAATCTACATATAACATTTGGGCATTGTCACGAGTCAATTAAGAACTAGTTGGCTTTGGAAGAAATGAGTTTGAAGCCTTCAGTCCAAAATAACCTTTCAGTCCACCTTGAGAATCAATTAGTCACCATGAATGATTCCACTTTGCATCCATTATAGTTTCAGGATCACAGGCTTAGCCTTGGAAAACAATCTAGTACATGAGGAAAGGCCACGGTTAAAACATTTCATAAACCGTATGCATGTATGAATCCTCGCTCTGTGTACTTAACTCCTCCAAAGCAATTGTAATTGGTAGATGCATGATCGGAAATGCTTTTATAGGTTACCTGCTTGACACACACAAACAATCCCAACAATTAATTAAAATCATTTAAAGCACTCTGTAAACACACATCTGCCAAGAGCTCCACCTGGCCGCAGATAGCAATCAGCTAATGTAGCCCTTGGTTCTCCTCCTACTGCTCCGCATTTTTCCATTGTCACCGGGGAAACTGGTAAGCTAAACAATAGAGGCTTTGCTAAACATGTTCTTGGTATCTGGATAATCTCTTTGAATGTACATTATTAACTTGGGCCATGCCCAGCTTGTTGCTACTCCTACTTTGTCAGCACATCATGATCTGGAAGGAGATATTTATTGTTGCAAGTTTATGATGCTCTTACACAACAGGGGCGAGACTTCCAAAATTTTATACCCCATTCACACTAGACAAACATACACTGGCTACTGTTTTCTCTCCCACAGCTAACACATGGCTTCAGGATGCCTTTGAGAAATACTTTAGGTTCTAGTCCATTGGAGGACTCATACCTCAAGGCCTGAGCCTATCATTTGCATACATATAATCCCAGGTGTAATCCCCACAGTGGTGCAGTTAGGTAATATTAGGCTCTGGACTTAATGGTTTTATAAGTACACATACACACAAAAAAAAAAATGTTAGAAGGCAAGGAGCATTAATTCACTTACTTCAAAATATGGCATGCCAGTTCTGCAATATTTGGGATAGAGGACAATGAAACGAGAATCTGAGCAAACCTTATTAGAACCATCCAGTCACAGCTTTCAGAATGCCATAAAGGGAAACATATGGCATGGTGTAGTGGTTTGACTGTTGGACAGTGACTCTGGAGTCCAGGGTTCGATTCCCCACTCGAACATGAAATCCACTGGGTGACCTTAAGCGACTCACATGTTCTCAGCCTCAGGGGAAGGCAATGGCAAACTGCCTCTGAACAAATCTAGCCAGGAAAGCCCCATGACAGGTTCTCCTTAGGGTTGCCATAGGTCAGAGATGACTTGAAGGCACACAACAGCAACATGGGAGATATAACCTACACACTTGTCTGTTGAAGAATTATATATTGACAGAATGAAACAGAGTTAGGGCAGCCAGAAACAGAGTGAAGGCCAGTTAGGAAGAGTGGAATTGATATGATCTGAGTAGTGTTTGGGGATTAGCCAGTGTGGCCTAGTGGTTTAAGTGTTGGATTATGACTCTAAACACTAGGGTTCAATTCCCAGTTTGGCCATGAAACCCACTGGATGACCTTGGGCTAGTCACATGCTCTCAGCCTCAGGAGAAAGCAGTAGGAATTTCCCTCTGAATAAGTCTTGCCAAGAAAACCCCATGATAGGTACACTTTAGGATTGACATAATCTTACTGAGCAGATTTAGAATTAGAAGTGAGCGGCATCCTGATATTATCAGATGCATTTAGCCACCAAAATTGCCATCTGGGTGCAGCCAGGATCCATTGCTGCTCAGAGGGGCACTCCAGCGGCTCCCGGCTTTGAAAAGAGGAGCACACTTTGAGCGGCGACAGAGCCAGGCTGCACCCAGGTGGTAATTTCGGTGGCTAAATGCATCTTATAATATCAGGATGACACCCGCTTCTACTTTTAAACTGGCTCAGGTAAGACGCTTTATATCCTCATGCAATAATCTCCATGGCTAGAATGCTGCTACACTGAGTACAGGTTTTTTAAACTCTATAGTTTTTTAAAAGAAGAAAATGTGTTTGGTGGTGAACCAGAAACAGCACTGTCGATGAGCCAAGGGAATAGAGAGGGTTGAAGTTGGCCACAATCTCACCGACCCTGAAGATCTCAACGCAGACAAACAAAGAAATGAACCAAGGAAGACCTTGAGATGGATTCTCACGCATACTATGCTACTTGCTGCAAATTCAAATGAAATTACAAACTCAAATGAAAATACTTGCTGGCAGAGTGCAAAAGTAATCGAGCAGGCCTTCTGCATTTAACTCACCAAAGACAAAATGCTTCATTCGATCCTCTGATGAACAGCAATGGGGGCATTCTCCCCAACTCCCCCCCCCAAAAAAAAATGCCAACAGTTTTCTAGTGGTAATGGATTTCACATCAAATAGGATACTGTGAATTTCACATGCAACAGAATTCATTCTGTAGTTGGTTTACTGTATGAACACTTACCTGGGAGCAAGCCTCATCAAATACAATTAAGATTTCTTTTGTGTAAAAGTGAACAGGGTGCAATGCAAAGGAAACTTAAATGTTGGATTTTTGTGGCAGAGAGCTTCTGAGTGCCTATTGAAAAATGTTGCTGAAGAAAAGAGATTCCATCTAAACATTAAAAAGAACTTATTTGATATAAAAGTTGTTTGACAGTGGAATAGGTCTAGGACTCTCCATCTTTGGAGGTCTTTTAACAGATGGGCATCTTTCAGAAGTGCTTTAGGGTGTATATGCACTGCAGAATTGAAGCAGATTGACACTTTAACTGCCATGACCCTATCCTACAGAATCCTGGGATTTTTAGTTTGGTGAGATATTCAGCCCAGTCTGTCAGAGAACTCTTGTGCCTCACCAAACTACAAATCCCAGGATTCTGTAGGATAGGGCCATGGCAGTAAAAGTAGTGTCGAACTGCTTTAATTCTGCAGTGTGGATGCACCTTTGGTTGCACATTCCTGCATGAAACAGGCTTGGACTCAATGGCCCTTGCTATCTCTTTCAACTCCAAGAGTCTATTATTCTCTGTCTATAAAAGCCAATTCAGAACAGGGCTTTCTGGAGCACAAAGCATCATCCTAAGGGGGGGGGGGGAAGGAGCAGAAGAAACAGAAGAAACAATGTGCAAGAGCAGCTGGCTAGATGAAATGGAATGGAACAAGACTTGGGGTCCCTTTCCCCTTTTTGCAAAGTTTATGATTTCACTCCTGTTTGGTGGAGATTTAAGATGGTTGGTTGAAAAAAGGAAAATCTGAGCCAGAGAAAATTTACTCAAGCTGCACCAGCTGCTGGATGGAGGGATGGACAGGGGGATGAAGATCTAACTGCTTCTAACACCAGCCTTCATAAGCTGTGTGGCCATTCATGAAACTACTGATGGTTGGGTGGGAGGGATGGCTTTAGAAATAATAGTACTTAATGCTCTCAGAAAGAATCTTCCAGCTTCAAAGCACTTGAAAATTACCCATCCTGTAATTCACACAACATCCATGTTAGACAAGGGAGGGCAAATGTGGGAAAATCTGGGGGACACTACAGCTAACCATGGCAAAATTAGCAAGCATCCCTTGGAAGAGCCTTTACTCTTTAAATAATAATTTATCATTTTTGTTTTTAAAATATTTAAAACAAAAATATATGAGTGGAGATTAGTTTGTCTTCAGGAAGAGCACTTATTTTTTTTTTTAAAAAAAAATCTGACTTGGTACCATTGGTATTCTTATTATAAACTGGGGTTTCATTTTTGTTGTTTAAGAGAGAAAATAATTTTTAAAATAATATGTTTCACAACTTTTAATGCTGATTTTAATATTCTCATAGTTTGATTCTTTTTTAATGCTTGCTTTTTGCATGTTTTTAATTGTATTGCTCTTTTAAGTTGTGAGCCATTTTGAGTCCCAATTTTTGGGAGGAAAGCCAGATGTAAATAAATATAACAATGACAATAACTTCTAGCTCCACTCATCTTGCAGCAAACAATTGAAGCAAACAAATACAGACCAGGGTAGAATACATCAACTGACTAACTGTGGGATCTAGCAGAGACACACTGTTAGCCGCCTTCAATTCCTGTACTGGGAGAAAAGTGTGATATAAATGAATAAAATAATAACATTAGTCATCATCACCATCACCATCACCACCACCACCACCATCATCATCATCCTGTTCCTTCCTTATGCACAGTAACAATGGCTAATATCTTGTATCAGCTACCAGTTAAGTATACTAAACCTAAATCAGTTACCTAGATTTACTCATCCATATTCACAGTCACTACATAATCACAATTGTGACACTAATGCCATGGTTGTAACCCTCTCCAACCTACGTTACTGGGCGTCTGGGCATTGGAGCATGCATGAACAATGTTTCCATACGTGTTGAGGGGGCTAGTCAGGCCAGGAGAGGTTACTTTCTGTTAAATATAGGGGGGAAGCAGACGAGGGCGTCCAGGACGCCCTGGGCCGGCGCGCCGTGGGGCCGCAGCCTCCGCACCTCGGCGCACCGGCGGCGTCCCTGGAAGGAGCGCTAAATCAGCGCTCCTTCCTCAAGACAGCGAAAGTGCGCACTAAAAGCGGCGGGTGCACTTTCGCTGTCTTTTCCGCTGCGGCGCATGTGGTCGCCGCGGCGTGAGGTCATCCCCGGAGCGCCGGCCGTGCGGAGGGCCGGCGACTCCGAGGGCGACCTCAGGGAGAGGAAGGGGCGCCGAACGTGCGGCTGCCCCTCCTCTTCCAAGCCTCCAAGACGACCCTATTAGTCGTCTGCTTCCCCCCATAGTTAACTAAATAACCAATACAGAATACAGGCCTATGTTTTTCCTGCTAAATCAATCTTATAAGAACTTTCTGTCTAAGCTTAACTGGTACACAGGGAAGCAGGATACAAAGGCATTATTCATCTAGGTTGCAGCTTGGGAGGGGACAGCAGTTAGGTAGGTATTAGCAAACAGGTAGTGTTGAAGATAATGAAACTTTGGAGACTGTCTCTGCTGTTCCAAAGAAGGTAAAGAGCATTTCCCCTTATTTTGAAAACACAGATAGAGAGGTTGCAACACCAGAAAGTCCACAGAGGCAGCCTGCTATTATGTTCTGATCCATGTACATCTTGTTATATTCTAATTTGTTTGGCAGCTCCTCAGCATCTGTGCCCACAGAACCCTGGGGAGATGTGATTCATGATGTATGAAAGGCACTGGCAGCCTCTTTGAGCCCAGTTGTGGTAGTTCACAAACAATGCGTTCCATGTGCCTCCCACACTCAAATGGAGGAGATTTCTGAGAAGCCATCCATCCTGTCTGAGTGGGAAGTGGGCATACTACAACATTGTTGTGCCAACCTGAAGTTTCACAATGCATTGTTCCCAGGGTAGGATCATCAGTGGGTAAGGGCTTCCCCCATTCCCTGCCTTCCTTCACAAGTTTCTGCTTAACTCTCCAGAAAGATGTCCAGCACAAATTAAAAGCACACTACACCTTTACCAATTTTCAACCATAAAGCATGAAGCAAAATCAGGCTGACTTGCAGACAAACTTTTTTTGTTAAGCAATTTGTTCCTACCAGTTTCAAGAGAAACTTATATATGTGTTTATTAAGATACTGGTAACAACATGAAACCAGAGAGATTACCAGATTTTCAGCTCAAGCATCCATCCATTAGACTGTACAAGATAGTAGTGATGCCAATACAAAGGAGGAAAGTGTTATGTAATTGTTAGGCAACTTACAAACCATGATTTCTCCCTAGGTTATAGCTACATTTCATACTAGCAGTCAATTGGATCCTGGGATTTGTAGTTTGGTGAGGTATTTAGAACTATTAGCAGATACAATAGACTCTATACAGAAAAGCCATACAACCTGATGTGGACCAGAAAAAAACAAACACTGCTGGTCCATAGCTACAAAAGTCTTGTTTTACTAAGCAAATATGTATAATTGTAAGTAAACATTAATACAGTTCTGGCTGGTGACTTCCATGTCTTCAGGGAGGTGAATCCACTCTGTGTTGTACTGTAAACTTCAATGGAACTGTTCACAATATTAAACTTATTTTAAAGATAGGGCTCATCACCTTTTAATACAGTTTAAAATACAGAGTGGATTGCCCATAATGGTGAACAGGGAGTAAGCACATGGGATCATCCATTGCTATTGCATACACACAACTCTTTTAGCTTCTTGTATCAATGTATATACAGGATCATAAAATGTAAAGCCATCACTCTGAACACCAAAGTGAGGATAGTCCAAGCCATTGTATTCCCCATCACCATGTATGGATGCAAGAGATGGACAGTGAAAAAAATTATAAAAAGAAAATTGAATAATTTGAGATGTGGTGCTGGAGAAGACTGTTGAGGATACTGTGGATGGCCACGAAGACAAACAAATATGTCATTGAACATATCAAGTCCAAACTCTCCCTGGAAGCCAGAATGACAAAACTGAGGCTTTTGTACTTTAATCACATCATGAGGGAAAATGAATCATTAGAAAAGGCATTGATGCTAGGAAAGGTGGAGGGCAGTAGAAA